CGCGGCGTGCTGTACGCCACGCACCTGCCGGACAGGTGGGACACAGGTGAGGTACAGCTGAGAAATGGGGTTAATTTCACACAAAACCAGAGAAATTCCACCCAAAACCAGAGAAATTCCACCCAAAAATGGGCCCAGGGATGCGGAACTGGGGCCCCTGTGGGGTGCGGTATGCAGCGCACCTGGGGCAGGTGAGACACAGGTGAGGTACAGGTAAGAGGCAGGTGAGAAATGGGGTTAATTCTACCCAAAACCAGAGAAATTCCACCCAAAAATGGGCCCGGGGTTGCAGAATTTGGGCCCCTGTGGGGTGCGGTATGCAGCGCACCTGGGGCAGGTGAGAAACGCCGTTAATTCTTACCCAAAATCAGAGGAATTTCACCCAAAAATGAGCCCAGGTGTCACAATCTCCCCAAAAAAGGTGCCCCAAGTACCCAAACCCTCCAAAATTCCGCACCCCCCCCTCATGAAACCCCCCAGGTATCCAAAATCCCCCCCAAAAAATCCCCCCGAGCTCACCGCGCGTCCACGGCCAGCACCTGCTGCCACACGGCGGCCATGGCGGCCGCGGCCGCCGCGGGGGGACCCTGCCGAGGGAACAACGGCGTGAGCTGAGGGGAAAAATGGGGGGAAAAGGGGAAAAAAGGGAAAAAAAGGCACCGGGGCGGCCCTACCTGCGCGTCCCGCTCCACCTCCGCCGCAGGAGCTCCGCGGGGCCGGGGCTGGGCTGGGGGAGCGGGGCTGGGCCTGGCCGGAAGTTGCCGCGGCGCCGCCTCACGCCCAAATGGCGGCGGGCGTCGTCCTGGAGACGGGGGGCGGTGTGAGGGGGCGTGGTCTTCGAGGTGATTGGTTGGTTTTGGTAAATGGGGCGTGGCTTTTGGGCTCTTCTGTAATTCCCGCCTTCCAGGAGCGCACGCTGATTGGGTGAGCATAGAAAAGGGGCGTAGCGACCGCGTCTCTTTATGGTTACGGTATTCCCTGAGCGCCCCCGGATTGGCTGCTCCGCCCAGCGCCTCTTGTCTGCCCCGGGTCCTCCCGCCCGCCGAGTTTGCGACAACACAGCGGGCGCTTTACGGCAGCGGGCCGGGGGTCCCGGGAGGGTCCCGAGGGAGTTTTAAGGGGACCCCGAGGGGGTCCCGGTGCCTCCGAGGCGTCTCCGTGAACACCGAATTTCCCCCCGCGCCCTCCTTTGTGCCGCGCCACGGCGCTACTCGGAGCGCGCCTCGCTTGACGGCGGGCTGTACGACAGCCTGAGGGGCGTCCGGCGCGCTTTACGGCAGCGCGGCCGGGGCAGCGCGGCCGGGGGGGATTTTGGGGGGTCCCGGGGGGGATTTTGGGGGGTCCCGGGGGGGGCCGGGGGCCGGTGCCCCCCCCGAGGATGCCGCTGGCCGTGCAGTGGCCGTTCCCCGCGGAGCCGTCGCGGCGCTGGGCCCTGGCGAGCCGCGTGGTCACGGGCCTGGTGGGCACCTACAGCTGCGTGTGGACCCGTGAGTGACCCCCACCCCAAAGCTGGGGAGACCCCCCCCAAAATCCCGGTTCTGAGGGGAAACCGCCCCAAATCCCGGTTCTGAGGGGAACCCCCCCAAAATCCCGGTTATGAGGGGAAACCCCCCCAAATCCCGGTTCTGAGGGGAAACCCCCCCAAAATCCCGGTTCTGTGGGGAACCCCCCCGGGTGTCCCAGGGTTGTTATGAGGTGTTCCTCAGGGGTATTTTTAGGATGGTTTTGGGGATGTTTTTGGGGTGTCCCAGGGGTGTTTTGGGCTGTTTTTGGGGTGTCCCAGGGTTGTTATGAGGTGTTCCTCAGGGGTATTTTTAGGATGGTTTTGGGGATGTTTTTGGGGTGTCCCAGGGGTGTTTTGGGCTGTTTTTGGGGTGTCCCAGGGTTGTTATGAGGTGTTCCTCAGGGGTATTTTTAGGATGGTTTTGGGGATGTTTTTGGGGTGTCCCAGGGGTGTTTTGGGCTGTTTTTGGGGTGTCCCAGGGTTGTTATGAGGTGTTCCTCAGGGGTATTTTTAGGATGGTTTTGGGGATGTTTTTGGGGTGTCCCAGGGGTGTTTTGGGCTGTTTTTGGGGTGTCCCAGGGTTGTTATGAGGTGTTCCTCAGGGGTATTTTTAGGATGGTTTTGGGGATGTTTTTGGGGTGTCCCAGGGGTGTTTTGGGCTGTTTTTGGGGTGTCCCAGGGTTGTTATGAGGTGTTCCTCAGGGGTATTTTTAGGATGGTTTTGGGGATGTTTTTGGGGTGTCCCAGGGGTGTTTTGGGCTGTTTTTGGGGTGTCCCAGGGTTGTTATGAGGTGTTCCTCAGGGGTATTTTTAGGATGGTTTTGGGGATGTTTTTGGGGTGTCCCAGGGGTGTTTTGGGCTGTTTTTGGGGTGTCCCAGGGTTGTTATGAGGTGTTCCTCAGGGGTATTTTTAGGATGGTTTTGGGGATGTTTTTGGGGTGTCCCAGGGGTGTTTTGGGCTGTTTTTGGGGTGTCCCAGGGTTGTTATGAGGTGTTCCTCAGGGGTATTTTTAGGATGGTTTTGGGGATGTTTTTGGGGTGTCCCAGGGGTGTTTTGGGCTGTTTTTGGGGTGTCCCAGGGTTGTTATGAGGTGTTCCTCAGGGGTATTTTTAGGATGGTTTTGGGGATGTTTTTGGGGTGTCCCAGGGGTGTTTTGGGCTGTTTTTGGGGTGTCCCAGGGTTGTTATGAGGTGTTCCTCAGGGGTATTTTTAGGATGGTTTTGGGGATGTTTTTGGGGTGTCCCAGGGGTGTTTTGGGCTGTTTTTGGGGTGTCCCAGGGTTGTTATGAGGTGTTCCTCAGGGGTATTTTTAGGATGGTTTTGGGGATGTTTTTGGGGTGTCCCAGGGGTGTTTTGGGCTGTTTTTGGGGTGTCCCAGGGTTGTTATGAGGTGTTCCTCAGGGGTATTTTTAGGATGGTTTTGGGGATGTTTTTGGGGTGTCCCAGGGGTGTTTTGGGCTGTTTTTGGGGTGTCCCAGGGTTGTTATGAGGTGTTCCTCAGGGGTATTTTTAGGATGGTTTTGGGGATGTTTTTGGGGTGTCCCAGGGGTGTTTTGGGCTGTTTTTGGGGTGTCCCAGGGTTGTTATGAGGTGTTCCTCAGGGGTATTTTTAGGATGGTTTTGGGGATGTTTTTGGGGTGTCCCAGGGGTGTTTTGGGCTGTTTTTGGGGTGTCCCAGGGTTGTTATGAGGTGTTCCTCAGGGGTATTTTTAGGATGGTTTTGGGGATGTTTTTGGGGTGTCCCAGGGGTGTTTTGGGCTGTTTTTGGGGTGTCCCAGGGTTGTTATGAGGTGTTCCTCAGGGGTATTTTTAGGATGGTTTTGGGGATGTTTTTGGGGTGTCCCAGGGGTGTTTTGGGCTGTTTTTGGGGTGTCCCAGGGTTGTTATGAGGTGTTCCTCAGGGGTATTTTTAGGATGGTTTTGGGGATGTTTTTGGGGTGTCCCAGGGGTGTTTTGGGCTGTTTTTGGGGTGTCCCAGGGTTGTTATGAGGTGTTCCTCAGGGGTATTTTTAGGATGGTTTTGGGGATGTTTTTGGGGTGTCCCAGGGGTGTTTTGGGCTGTTTTTGGGGTGTCCCAGGGTTGTTATGAGGTGTTCCTCAGGGGTATTTTTAGGATGGTTTTGGGGATGTTTTTGGGGTGTCCCAGGGGTGTTTTGGGCTGTTTTTGGGGTGTCCCAGGGTTGTTATGAGGTGTTCCTCAGGGGTATTTTTAGGATGGTTTTGGGGATGTTTTTGGGGTGTCCCAGGGGTGTTTTGGGCTGTTTTTGGGGTGTCCCAGGGTTGTTATGAGGTGTTCCTCAGGGGTATTTTTAGGATGGTTTTGGGGATGTTTTTGGGGTGTCCCAGGGGTGTTTTGGGCTGTTTTTGGGGTGTCCCAGGGTTGTTATGAGGTGTTCCTCAGGGGTATTTTTAGGATGGTTTTGGGGATGTTTTTGGGGTGTCCCAGGGGTGTTTTGGGCTGTTTTTGGGGTGTCCCAGGGTTGTTATGAGGTGTTCCTCAGGGGTATTTTTAGGATGGTTTTGGGGATGTTTTTGGGGTGTCCCAGGGGTGTTTTGGGCTGTTTTTGGGGTGTCCCAGGGTTGTTATGAGGTGTTCCTCAGGGGTATTTTTAGGATGGTTTTGGGGATGTTTTTGGGGTGTCCCAGGGGTGTTTTGGGCTGTTTTTGGGGTGTCCCAGGGTTGTTATGAGGTGTTCCTCAGGGGTATTTTTAGGATGGTTTTGGGGATGTTTTTGGGGTGTCCCAGGGGTGTTTTGGGCTGTTTTTGGGGTGTCCCAGGGTTGTTATGAGGTGTTCCTCAGGGGTATTTTTAGGATGGTTTTGGGGATGTTTTTGGGGTGTCCCAGGGGTGTTTTGGGGCTGATTTTGGGGTGTCCCTGGGGTTTTTTGGGGGTGTCCCAGGGATATTTTTGGGCTGATTTTGGGGTGGTTTTGGGCTGTTTTTGGGGTGTCCCAGGGGTGTTTTGGGGCTGATTTTGGGGTGTCCCTGGGGTTTTTTGGGGGTGTCCCAGGGATATTTTTGGGCTGATTTTGGGGTGGTTTTGGGCTGTTTTTGGGGTGTCCCAGGGGTGTTTTGGGGCTGATTTTGGGGTGTCCCTGAGGCTGGTTTGGGGTTGTTTTTGGGGTGTTTTTGGGGTGTCCCTGGGGTGATTTTGGGGTGTCCCAGGGGTATTTTTGGGCTGATTTTGGGGTGGTTTTGGGCTGTTTTTGGGGTGTCCCAGGGTTGTTATGGGGTGTTCCTCAGGAGTATTTTTAGGATGGTTTTGGGGATGTTTTTGGGGTGTCCCAGGGCTGGTTTTGGGGTGTTCCGGGAGTATTTTTGAGGAGATTCTGGGCTGTTTTTTGGGGGTCCTTGGGCTATTTTGGGGGGGTCTCCGGGGGTGTTTTTGGGGGGTGTTTTTGGGGTGTCCCTGGGGTTGTTTTGGGGTGTCCCAGGGGTATTTTTGGGCTGATTTTGGGGTGGCTTTGGGGTGTCTCTGGGGCTGTTTTGGGGTGTCCCTGGGGCTGTTCTGAGGTGTCCCGGGGGTAGTTTTGGGCTGGTTTTGTGCTGTTTCTGTGCCGTTTTTGTGCTGTTTTTGGGCCGTTTTTTGCCGTTTTTGGGCTGTTTTCGGGGCATCCCGGGGCGGTTCGGGGGTCCCAGCGCCCCCTCCCCACATTTCCCCCCCCAGGACCCCCACGGCCGCTGACATTTGCTTCACACGGGAGCTGCACGCGCTCTTCTTCAGCCTGGGGCGCTGCGTGCCCGTGTGCCGCGGTGACTGGGGACTGGGAATGGACTGGGAATGGACTGGGAATGGACTGGGAATGGACTGGGGGAACTGGGAATGGACTGGGGAAACTGGGAATGGACTGGGAATGGACTGGGAATGGACTGGGAATGGACTGGGGAAACTGGGAATGGACTGGGAATGGACTGGGGAAACTGGGAATGGACTGGGGAAACTGGGAATGGACTGGGAATGGACTGGGAATGGACTGGGGAACTGGGAATGGACTGGGAAACTGGGAATGGACTGGGAATGGACTGGGAATGGACTGGGGGAACTGGGAATGGACTGGGGAAACTGGGAATGGACTGGGAATGGACTGGGAACTGGGAATGGACTGGGAATGGACTGGGAATGGACTGGGGGGACTGGGAATGGACTGGGAATGGGCTGGGAATGGACTGGGAATGGACTGGGAATGGACCGGGAATGGACTGGGGAAACTGGGAATGGGCTGGGAATGGACTGGGGAAACTGGGAATGGACTGGGGGAACTGGGAATGGACTGGGAATGGACTGGGAATGGACTGGGAATGGACTGGGAATGGACTGGGAATGGACTGGGAATGGACTGGGAATGGACTGGGAAACTGGGAATGGACTGGGAATGGACTGGGGGAACTGGGAATGGCCTGGGGGGAACTGGGAATGGACTGGGACAAACTGGGAGGGACTGGGCTGCTTCTGATCTGTACTGGGGGGTGACTGGGGGGCACTGGCTCATTCCCAGTCCGCACTGGGGGGGTCCCAGTCCGTACTGGGGGGGCCGTGGTTGCTCTGGGTTGCTCCCAGTCCGCACTGGGGGGGTCCCAGTCCGTACTGGGGGGGCCGTGGTTGCTCTGGGTTGCTCCCAGTCCGCACTGGGGGGGTCCCAGTTTGAACTGGTGCGGCCGTGGTTGCTCTGGGTTGCTCCCAGTCCGCACTGGGGGGGTCCCAGTCCGTACTGGGGGGGCCGTGGTTGCTCTGGGTTGCTCCCAGTCCGCACTGGGGGGGTCCCAGTCCGTACTGGGGGGGCCGTGGTTGCTCTGGGTTGCTCCCAGTCCGCACTGGGGGGGTCCCAGTCCGTACTGGGGGGGCCGTGGTTGCTCTGGGTTGCTCCCAGTCCGCACTGGGGGGGTCCCAGTCCGTACTGGGGGGGCCGTGGTTGCTCTGGGTTGCTCCCAGTCCGCACTGGGGGGGTCCCAGTCCGTACTGGGGGGGCCGTGGTTGCTCTGGGTTGCTCCCAGTCCGCACTGGGGGGGTCCCAGTCCGTACTGGGGGGGCCGTGGTTGCTCTGGGTTGCTCCCAGTCCGCACTGGGGGGGTCCCAGTCCGTACTGGGGGGGCCGTGGTTGCTCTGGGTTGCTCCCAGTCCGCACTGGGGGGGTCCCAGTCCGTACTGGGGGGGCCGTGGTTGCTCTGGGTTGCTCCCAGTCCGCACTGGGGGGGTCCCAGTCCGTACTGGGGGGGCCGTGGTTGCTCTGGGTTGCTCCCAGTCCGCACTGGGGGGGTCCCAGTCCGTACTGGGGGGGCCGTGGTTGCTCTGGGTTGCTCCCAGTCCGCACTGGGGGGGTCCCAGTCCGTACTGGGGGGGCCGTGGTTGCTCTGGGTTGCTCCCAGTCCGCACTGGGGGGGTCCCAGTCCGTACTGGGGGGGCCGTGGTTGCTCTGGGTTGCTCCCAGTCCGCACTGGGGGGGTCCCAGTCCGTACTGGGGGGGCCGTGGTTGCTCTGGGTTGCTCCCAGTCCGCACTGGGGGGGTCCCAGTCCGTACTGGGGGGGCCGTGGTTGCTCTGGGTTGCTCCCAGTCCGCACTGGGGGGGTCCCAGTCCGTACTGGGGGGGCCGTGGTTGCTCTGGGTTGCTCCCAGTCCGCACTGGGGGGGTCCCAGTCCGTACTGGGGGGGCCGTGGTTGCTCTGGGTTGCTCCCAGTCCGCACTGGGGGGGTCCCAGTCCGTACTGGGGGGGCCGTGGTTGCTCTGGGTTGCTCCCAGTCCGCACTGGGGGGGTCCCAGTCCGTACTGGGGGGGCCGTGGTTGCTCTGGGTTGCTCCCAGTCCGCACTGGGGGGGTCCCAGTCCGTACTGGGGGGGCCGTGGTTGCTCTGGGTTGCTCCCAGTCCGCACTGGGGGGGTCCCAGTCCGTACTGGGGGGGCCGTGGTTGCTCTGGGTTGCTCCCAGTCCGCACTGGGGGGGTCCCAGTCCGTACTGGGGGGGCCGTGGTTGCTCTGGGTTGCTCCCAGTCCGCACTGGGGGGGTCCCAGTCCGTACTGGGGGGGCCGTGGTTGCTCTGGGTTGCTCCCAGTCCGCACTGGGGGGGTCCCAGTCCGTACTGGGGGGGCCGTGGTTGCTCTGGGTTGCTCCCAGTCCGCACTGGGGGGGTCCCAGTCCGTACTGGGGGGGCCGTGGTTGCTCTGGGTTGCTCCCAGTCCGCACTGGGGGGGTCCCAGTCCGTACTGGGGGGGCCGTGGTTGCTCTGGGTTGCTCCCAGTCCGCACTGGGGGGGTCCCAGTCCGTACTGGGGGGGCCGTGGTTGCTCTGGGTTGCTCCCAGTCCGCACTGGGGGGGTCCCAGTCCGTACTGGGGGGGCCGTGGTTGCTCTGGGTTGCTCCCAGTCCGCACTGGGGGGGTCCCAGTCCGTACTGGGGGGGCCGTGGTTGCTCTGGGTTGCTCCCAGTCCGCACTGGGGGGGTCCCAGTCCGTACTGGGGGGGCCGTGGTTGCTCTGGGTTGCTCCCAGTCCGCACTGGGGGGGTCCCAGTCCGTACTGGGGGGGCCGTGGTTGCTCTGGGTTGCTCCCAGTCCGCACTGGGGGGGTCCCAGTCCGTACTGGGGGGGCCGTGGTTGCTCTGGGTTGCTCCCAGTCCGCACTGGGGGGGTCCCAGTCCGTACTGGGGGGGCCGTGGTTGCTCTGGGTTGCTCCCAGTCCGCACTGGGGGGGTCCCAGTCCGTACTGGGGGGGCCGTGGTTGCTCTGGGTTGCTCCCAGTCCGCACTGGGGGGGTCCCAGTCCGTACTGGGGGGGCCGTGGTTGCTCTGGGTTGCTCCCAGTCCGCACTGGGGGGGTCCCAGTCCGTACTGGGGGGGCCGTGGTTGCTCTGGGTTGCTCCCAGTCCGCACTGGGGGGGTCCCAGTCCGTACTGGGGGGGCCGTGGTTGCTCTGGGTTGCTCCCAGTCCGCACTGGGGGGGTCCCAGTCCGTACTGGGGGGGCCGTGGTTGCTCTGGGTTGCTCCCAGTCCGCACTGGGGGGGTCCCAGTCCGTACTGGGGGGGCCGTGGTTGCTCTGGGTTGCTCCCAGTCCGCACTGGGGGGGTCCCAGTCCGTACTGGGGGGGCCGTGGTTGCTCTGGGTTGCTCCCAGTCCGCACTGGGGGGGTCCCAGTCCGTACTGGGGGGGCCGTGGTTGCTCTGGGTTGCTCCCAGTCCGCACTGGGGGGGTCCCAGTCCGTACTGGGGGGGCCGTGGTTGCTCTGGGTTGCTCCCAGTCCGCACTGGGGGGGTCCCAGTCCGTACTGGGGGGGCCGTGGTTGCTCTGGGTTGCTCCCAGTCCGCACTGGGGGGGTCCCAGTCCGTACTGGGGGGGCCGTGGTTGCTCTGGGTTGCTCCCAGTCCGCACTGGGGGGGTCCCAGTCCGTACTGGGGGGGCCGTGGTTGCTCTGGGTTGCTCCCAGTCCGCACTGGGGGGGTCCCAGTCCGTACTGGGGGGGCCGTGGTTGCTCTGGGTTGCTCCCAGTCCGCACTGGGGGGGTCCCAGTCCGTACTGGGGGGGCCGTGGTTGCTCTGGGTTGCTCCCAGTCCGCACTGGGGGGGTCCCAGTCCGTACTGGGGGGGCCGTGGTTGCTCTGGGTTGCTCCCAGTCCGCACTGGGGGGGTCCCAGTCCGTACTGGGGGGGCCGTGGTTGCTCTGGGTTGCTCCCAGTCCGCACTGGGGGGGTCTGGGGTCTCTTTGGTGATTTTTCGGGGGTTTTTGGTGTCTAATTGAGAGGATTTTTGGGGTCTCTGGTGTCATTTGGGGGTTTCCTGGGTTTCTGGGAGGATTTTTGGGGTCTCTGAAATGATTTTTGGGGTCTCTGGGGTCATTTGGGAGGGTTTTGGGGGGCTTCTGGGGGACTTCTAGGGTCTCTGAGAGGATTTTGGGGTCTCTGGGGGACACTTGGGGGTCTCTGAGGGGTTCTTGGGGTTTCTGGGAGGATTTTTGGGGTCTCTGAGGGGGTTTTGGGGGTCTCTTGGGGGGATTTCTGGACAAATTTTTGGGGTCTCTCGGGGGTTTTTGGGGTTTCTGGGAGGATTTTTGGCATCTCTGTTTTGGGTCTCTGTGGGATTTTTTGGGGGGTCTCTGGGGGGATTTTTTTGGCATCTCTCCGGGATTTCGGGTTATCTGAGGAGGTTTGGGGGTCTCTGTGAGGTTTTTTTGGGGGTCTCAGGGTGGGTTTTGGGGTCTCACTGACCCCGTTCCCCCCCAGCACATCACGGTGGTCGTGGGGCGCCCCTTCAGTGCCCGGCCCCTCCTGGAGCGGCTGCGCAGCGAGGGGACCCCCACGGTGGGTAGGGTGGGACCCCCCTTTTGGGGGGCTGGGACCCCCACATTTGGGGAGGTGGGACCCCCACGGTGGGTAGGGTGGGACCCCCCTTTTGGGGGGCTGGGACCCCCCTTTTGGGGGGCTGGGACCCCCACGGTGGGTGAGGGTGGGACCCCCCTTCTGGGGGGCTGGGACCCCCACATTTGGGGAGGTGGGACCCCCCTTTTTGGGGGCTGGGACCCCCACTGGGGGGCCTGTAACCCACAGATTTGAGCTTTGTCCATAAATTTGGGAGGGGTTTCCCCATGAACTTGGGGTTGCCCTATAGATCTATAGGTCTCTTTCCCATCCCCATAAATCCCAGGATCCCAGCCCCACGGATCCCAGGATTCAGTCCCATAAATTTCTGGGTCCCAGCCCCACAGATCCCGGGATCCCAGCCCCATAAATCCCCGGATCCCAACCCCATAAATCTCCGGATCCCAGCCCCACAGATCCTTGGATTCAGCCCTATAAATCCCCGGATCCCAACCCCATAAATCTCCGGATCCCAGCCCCACAGATCCTTGGATTCAGCCCTATAAATCCCAGGATCCCAGCCCCATAGGTCCTTGGATTCAGCCCTATAAATCCCCGGATCCCAGCCCCATAAATCCCCGGATCCCAACCCCATAAATCCCCGGATCCCAGCCCCACAGATCCCGGGATCCCAGCCCCATAAATCCTGGAATCCCAACCCCATAAATCTCCGGATCCCAGCCCCACAGATCCTTGGATTCAGCCCTATAAATCCCAGGATCCCAGCCCCACAGATCCCGGGATTCAGTCCCATAAATTTCTGGGTCCCAGCCCCACAGATCCCGGGATCCCAGACCTATAAATCCTGGGATCCCACCCCACAAATCCCAGGATCCCAGCCCCAGAGATCCCGGGATCCCAACCCCACAGATCCCGGGATCCTAATCCCATAAATCCATAGATCCCAGCCCCATAAATCCCAGGATCCCAGTCCCAGAGATCCCCAGATCCCATTCCACAGATCCCAGGATCCCAACGCCACAGATCCTGGGATTCTAATCCCATAAATCCATAGATCCCAGCCCACAGATCCCTGGATCCCAGCCCCATAAATCCCTGGCTTCAGCCCTATAAATTCCTGGATCCCAGCCCCATAAATTTCTGGGTCCCAGCCCCAGAGATGCTCAGATCCCAACCCCGTAAATCCCTGGATCCCAGCCCACAGATCCCTGGATCCCACCCCACAGATCCCCAGGTCCCACCCCACAGATCCTGGGATTCTAATCCCATAAATCCACAGAACCCAGCCCCATAAATCCCAGGATCCCAGCCCCATAAATCCCTGGATCCCAGCCCCATAACTCTGTGGATCCCAGCCCCGTAACTCTGTGGATCCCACCCCACAGATCCCGGGATCCCAGCCCCATAAATCCCAGGATCCCAGCCCCATAAATCCCTGGATCCCACCCCACAGATCCCAGCCCCATAACTCTGTGGATCCCACCCCACAGATCGCAGGATCCCAGCCCCATAAATCCCTGGATCCCACCCCACAGATCCCAGCCCCACAGCTCGGGCTCTCTCTCCCCACAGGTGGAGCTCCGCAAGGCCCTGACCGATTTTGTCCAGCGGGAATTCGAGGCTCTGCGGGGCCACGCCCGGACCCTGCACCCCACCCCATAACTGGGGGTCCCCCTGCCCCAAAACTGGGGGGTTCTGCCCCAAAACTGGGGCTTCTGCCCCATAATTTGGGGTTGTGCCCCATAACTCCGGGTTGTGCCCCATAGCAAGGCCCTCCTGCCCCATAAAAGGGGATTTTTACCCCATAATTTGGGGGTCTTCAATAATTGGGGGGTCCTGCCCCATAGCAGGGGGTCCCTGGTGGACTCCCTGCCCCATAGGGGGGTCCTGCCCCCCTCTGAGCCCCCCAACTGTGCACGGTGCCAATAAAAGAAGGTGGAACCTCGGGGGTCTCTGGGGCATTTTGGGGTCCCAGGGAGAATTTGGGAGGTCCCAGGATGGAATTTGGGGTCTTAGAGGGGAAATTTGGGGGTCCCAGGGGAGAACTTTGGGCCCCAAAACCAAGCGAGTCCCAACCCGAGGTGATTTTATTGAAGCAGAAAAAAGGGGAGGGGTCCCCATTGCCCCCCAAAAAAACCCCCTGGGAAGAGGGGGGGACAAAGGGGGGTTCAGCCTCCCCAAAACGAGGCTTGGACCCCCCCAAAATGAGATTTGGACCCCAAAAAAAGGGGGGAAGGTCCCAAAAATGACGCCAGAACCCCCCCAAAAATGGAACTGGGGGCGTGGCCTGGTCCGGGAGGGGATTTTAGGGGCGTGGCCTGGTCCCGGGGGCGGGGTTTATAACCAGTGTGGGCGTGGTTTGTAGCGGTTGTGGGCGTGTCCTGGCGTGGCCCCGCCCCTCACTCCTCCTTCTTGTCCCGGGGTCCGTCGTGGGCGGCCTGGGGGGGCACAAAGGGGAAATTGAGGGGGGGTCTGGGGTGCACGGATCCCTGGATCCCAGCCCCATAAATCCCTGGATCCCAGCCCCATAAATCCCTGGATCCTACCCCACAGATCCCCAGGTCCCACCCCACAGATCCTGGGATTCTAATCCCATAAATCCACAGAACCCAGCCCCATAAATCCCTGGATCCCAGCCCCGTAACTCTGTGGATCCCACCCCACAGATCCCAGATTCCCAGCCCTATAAATCCCAGGATCCCACCCCACAGATCCCGGGATCCCAGCCCTATAAATCCCTGGATCCCAGCCTTATAAATCCCAGGATCCCACCCCACAGATCCCAGATTCCCAGCCCTATAAATCCCTGGATCCCAGCCCCATAACTCTGTGGATCCCAGCCCCAAAGATCCCAGGATCCCTCCCCACAGATCCCGGGATCCCATCCCCATAACTCTGTGGATCCCACCCCACAGATCCCGGGATTCAGCCCTATAAATCCCGGGATCCCAGCCCCACAGATCCCGGGATCCCAGCCCCACAGATCCCGGGATCCCAGCCCTATAAATCCCAGGATCCCAGCCCCATAAATCCCTGGATCCCAGCCCCATAACTCTGTGGATCCCACCCCACAGATCCCGGGATCCCAGCCCTATAAATCCCAGGATCCCAGCCCCATAACTCTGTGGATCCCAGCCCCGTAACTCTGTGGATCCCACCCCATCCCCCTGCCCCAAAACTGGGGGGATCTGCCCCAAAACTGGGGGGTTCTGCCCCATAATTTGGGGTTGTGCCCCATAACTCCGGGTTGTGCCCCATAGCAAGGCCCTCCTGCCCCATAAAAGGGGATTTTTACCCCATAATTTGGGGGTCTTCAATAATTGGGGGTCCTGCCCCATAGCAGGGGGTCCCTGGTGGACTCCCTGCCCCATAGGGGGGTCCTGCCCCCCTCTGAGCCCCCCAACTGTGCACGGTGCCAATAAAAGAAGGTGGAACCTCGGGGGTCTCTGGGGCATTTTGGGGTCCCAGGGAGAATTTGGGAGGTCCCAGGATGGAATTTGGGGTCTTAGAGGGGAAATTTGGGGGTCCCAGGGGAGAATTTTGGGCCCCAAAACCAAGCGAGTCCCAACCCGAGGTGATTTTATTGAAGCAGAAAAAAGGGGAGGGGTCCCCATTGCCCCCCAAAAAAACCCCCTGGGAAGAGGGGGGGACAAAGGGGGGTTCAGCCTCCCCAAAACGAGGCTTGGACCCCCCCAAAATGAGATTTGGACCCCAAAAAAAGGGGGGAAGGTCCCAAAAATGACGCCAGAACCCCCCCAAAAATGGAACTGGGGGCGTGGCCTGGTCCGGGAGGGGATTTTAGGGGCGTGGCCTGGTCCCGGGGGCGGGGTTTATAACCAGTGTGGGCGTGGTTTGTAGCGGTTGTGGGCGTGTCCTGGCGTGGCCCCGCCCCTCACTCCTCCTTCTTGTCCCGGGGTCCGTCGTGGGCGGCCTGGGGGGGCACAAAGGGGAAATTGAGGGGGGGTCTGGGGTGCAC